AAGACCAGTCAGAGCAGCATAGTTCTCCTTCAGGCAGTTAACCAACTGTAGAGCATCCTTAAAATCACTTCTGTGGCTGGAGAGGATGATGTCCCAAACTGGCACCAGCTGAAGACCCCTGTCAATGACACACCAGGTTTGATTGCTGGCCATAAGGCCAGCTTTCCACTGGACAAGGCCATCTGCCTCTGGAGGGCCACCTACCTGCGTCACAGATAACTGGATTTTGGTTTGGAGATTTTGGAAGGTTTTGTTTTGAGAGTATGCTTTTGATTGAGAATTTGACACATTTATGCCTGTAGTAACTTTCACTCCAAAGCCACTGTAGCTGCCCCTTATGTAAATATCCAGGGCCTCTGCTGCCTGCTTCTTGACATCCTCTAGCTGCTCCTTTTGGAAACCCTCTGAAATTGCCTTCCACCAGTAGATTCCTCCCAGGTGCAGAGGGCCTTGGTTAGCATGAGACCCAAACCTGTGGAAGAAGTTTTCAGTCATATTCCTTATCAAGGAGAGTCTTTCTGAGCCCGTTGTATGATCCAGGAGGTCTTCAATGCTTTTCAATTCCTGGAGAGAAGGCTTGGATAGCTTGAGCTGCTCAATAGGAAAGTGACAGGAGGCCAAAGGGACATAACTAAACTTGGTTGAGCAGAAGTAAGACTGTTCACAATGTGATTGTTGAATTTCCTTGGATTCAGAATGTTTGCCTCGATCTATACCAGCTTCTAGACTAAGTCTCCATCCTCCACCCTTGAATGAGGCAGTTACACTGAAGCCCAGCTTCTCTATACTCTGGGAGAACATGGATTCTTCTTGCAAAGATGTAAATTCCTTTGTTTCCATCCATGCACCCTGCTGAGGGCCAAAGAGTAAAACCACCTCTGGGACACTGAGTAGCTCTTCTCTTTTCTCAATGAGGGTTCCTTGGTGGTTAGTTTTATAAATTCCCTGCAGGGCAAGGCCTCCAGATGCCCATCTTACCAGATCTCTATCTGAGAAGTTTTGCCTTTTAGACAATGTCTGTTCCATAAGACTGATTTGTCTCTGCAGATTTTCTATGACTTCTCTTAGGGGTATTTCAGGAGGTGGCCAGTACTCTTCAGGGATCTCCATTGCTTGCCTCAGCTCTGCTTCTTTCATCCTCACTGACTCTTCCTGCCTCTGCCTTCCTTTTGACAGCAAGTCCATCAGCTCCTGCAGTGCCCGTTCTGCTTGCTCCTGCCTTTTCTTTGCCATGTCCGTTGGAAAGTCTTGTAACTCTGGGTGACTATTTGAATGTGAAAGGTCAAACAGCTTCTCCAGGGCCCTTTTTTCCCATGGATGTTGTGCATAGGATTTCAGTTTCTGGAGGTCTTTTTCATTTAAGTATTTTAAGGCCAGAGGACAGGACACTCCCAGGTGCTCTTGTAGCTTAGGCAACCAGAACTCAGGATCCAGTCCCACTTCTTTCAGCATCATTGGGAGATCTTGATTTCTTTTGTCTCTGTGCAGAGACTCATCAGAAGTATACTCTGTTGTGGCCATCACTGTGTGAAAAGCAGTCATTCAGTTAGTTTTGTTTGTCTCCTGACCTTAGCAAGTGTCAGCCGCATTACCAAAAGGGTGAGTATACTAATGATACAAGTCTAAAAGGCCTTCCTATCTCTCCTTTAATTTTCCCAACATATATTTTTTGTTAATACCATTTTTGTGCACATGTGTGCTTAAGACAGCATTGTGGGACTGGGGAGATAGCTCAGTAGAATAAGTACTTGCCTGGCAAGTGTAAGAACTTGAGTTCAATCCCTGGTACCACAGGAGAAAAAAAAGACAGCATTGTGGAGGGCTGGCCAGATAGCTCAGTAGATTAAAGCACCTGCAAACAGGCACAGGAGCCAGGGATTTGATCCTCACCCAGGCCTGCCATGCTAGACCCAGCCCCAGGACACACTGAGATAGTGATTGAGACTGGGCATAGTGGCATGTGCCTATAATCCCAGCACTTGGGAGGCTGTAAACAGGAGAATCACTATGAGTCTGATCTAGTA